TGGTTTATGAGTCACTTTGCTTAATTCCAATGGAAAGAACTGTTTTTTGGAAATCAGAAGGGGAAAAAAAAAATCCCACAAATGCTGAATGGATTTATTGTTGCTAAAATTGCATTGTTGTTGTTGTTTAGTGCTGTTGAACTGGTTCCGACTCATAGCAACCCTGTATAGGGTTTCCAAGGTCCAGTTGGTGGATTTGAACTGAGTTCAAATTGGCCTTGCGGTTCAACGCTGATCCTACAGCACCACATCCAGGATGGTGACTGACTTTTTTGAAAGTAGATCGCCAGGCATTTCTTCTGAGGTATCTCTAGGTAGAATGGAACATTTTGGTTAGTAGTCAGGTATGTTACCATTTCTGTAGTGGTAGTGGTGGTAGTGGTGTGCTATAGAGTCGGTTCCAAATTATAGCAACCCTGTGTAGAGTTTCCGAGGCTGTAAATCTGAAAGTCTCCTCTTTCTCCTATGGCAGGTACGATACCACTCATAGTTTTGAACTGCTGACCTTGAGGTTAGCAGCCCGTAACCACTGTGATACCAGAGCTAGAGAAAGCAAATTCCTGGTTGTTGTTTTGAGATATTTTTCTTATTCATGAATTATAATTAAATCCTTGGTGCAACCAATTGGTGAATTTGAAGATTCGAAAGCACCTTGTATTATTCTTGTAGGTTTTCTGTAACTTGAAACTATAACAAAATGAAAAGAAAAACAGACTACAAAGATTAGGAATCAATCATTCTAATAATGAAAGAAAATTCCATAGAAATCTAAAACTCATGTTGAATACAATTCACTTTCTGAAAAGGAAAAAAATAAATTAACATTGCTGCTCCTGAAAAATTTGAAAAATAGACGAAAAAGATTAGAAATTGATAATTGCAATAATGAGAGAAAATTTCAAAGAAATCTGAAAACTTATGTTGAACACATTTCACTTCCGTGTCCTAAGTTAGTGGCAGTAACATTAGCTGTGGTGATACATTGGATCAGTAACACACATTGGAGAATTGTTTTCTCTATTGTAATAGAACACTGGAGGATTTAAGATAGCAAAACAATCATCACATTTCAGACAATTATCTTTACCTTTTTGGAGTCCTTCTTTAACTTTTATGATGAATAGATAATACTTTATTTCCTTCTTACTTGTAAAGACATGAAGTCTGACATATTTTAGAGGGATCGATTCAAAAGAACTTCTTCAAGACTTTTTTCATCAGATAAATGGTCTGCCTTTGTCTCTAGAACATGTTATCCATTGGCAAAGCCTTTCACTTTTCCATTTTATAAATGTGCTATGTAAGAAGGCTTACCTTTACTGTCCTCCTGCCGTTTCAGTATAAAATCATCTGGATTTGACTACATAACTCTTACTGATACTAACTCTTCTGTGGATGTGATACTACCCTCTTTGTTGTTGTTGTTGTTGTTGTTAAGTGCCGTTGAGTCAGTTCAGACTCATAGCGATTCTGTATAGGGTTTGCAAGGAGCAACTGGTGAGTTTGAACGTCAAACCTTGTGGTTCAAACTGACCTTGCAGTCTAGCGAATTAACTCAGAGTGCCACACCAGAACTCCCCACCTTCTTTGTTGTTGTTGTTGTTAAGTGCCCTCAGGTTGGTTCCAACCCACAGTGACTCTGTATAGTGTTTCTGAGGAGCAGCTGGTGAGCTTGAACCGCTGACCTAGCAGTCCAAATGGCTATGCAGTCTGGCACATTAACCCACAGTGCCACACCAGGACTCCACCCTCTTTTGTTGTTGTTGTTAAGTGCCATCGAGTCGGTTCCGACCCATAGCGACCCTGTACAGGGTTTCCGAGGGTGTAAATCTTTAGGGGCACATATATCCCTTCAAGTTTATAGTTAGCTATGCATCTCTCTGCCAGGTCCCTGGAGTTTTAAATTTCACTTAGTCAAAGACCATGTGTTACCTTTGTACCCTCCAACATCTAACGCAGTGTTGGATGAGTAATAAATTCTCAGCAAATATTTGTTGAATAAATTATTATATTGTCAGCATGTGTTCATGAGCTTTAAAGAGCCTTTTAGAAATACAGTATTTGGACAGAAAAATACTTTTCAATAGAAAAAAAATATAGTTCCTGTCTTTAAGGTTTATAATCTTAGAACATGGCTGATTACCTACCAGAGCTTCAGAATATGATTTCAAACAAATAAGTTATTTTCAGTCATCTTGAAAATTGACCTTCAAAACTGAATCTAGTCTGAATGAATGGCTAAAACCGAGTTTGTCCTTCAGATATTCGTGACTGATATGTGTAAGAGAAGGTTCTCTTTGAACTTTTGATGGTACCAGAAGCAGCCTTGATGACTTCTGTCTGTTTCTTTATCTGCATAATTAACATAGATGCTGGGATCTATTGAGAACAGATTTCCCAATGTGAAAAGGAACTTAGCTATTTTCTTTATTTACTCTAGAGTGAATGCTCATGGGCTAAAAACTAGTATTTCTGAGGCAGTGTCAAGTGCCCTTAAAATTAATATTATCAGGTCATTAATCTTCTAACTAGCCAGTGTTATTGATGGAGAAGCGCTGCTCAAGAGACTCTATTTTAGGTGAGGTAAATAATTGTGTTGTAACTTTGTTGTACATTGGTTAGTTCACTTATCAGGAGAACATGAAAAAAATCTCGTGCTTTTATTTTGTAATTCAAAAAGTAATTCTGGAGGTATTAATGGTTTAAAATGAACTATAGATACACCGATTGCTTGTTGGCAAAATAGTTTTTCAAGCTATCTAAGGAGCTCTGGTAGCATAGTGGTTACGAATCGGGCTGCAAACCGCAACGTCAGCAGTTTGAAACTACCAGCTGCTCCGCAGGAGAAAGATGAGGCTTTCTGCTCCTGTAAAGATTTACAGCCTTACAGCCTTGGAAACTCTGTACAGGGTCGCTATGGGTCGGAACCGACTCGACAGCACTTAACAACAACGACAACAATTTGATTATGGAGTCCTGGTGTGGTGCTGTGGGTTAATGAGCTGCACTGCAAGGTTGGTTTGAACCACAAGGTCAGTGGTTCAAGCTCACCAGCTGCTCCTTGGAAAATCCTATACAGGGTCACTATGTGTTGGAACTGACTCGACGGCACTCAACAATGAGAACAATCTGATTCTGTTTAATCCTTAATATGAAGTAAGAGTAAATTCCTCAATCTAAAACTTTTCCCCCTCAATTAAGAGTATTTTGTATGAGTTTCTCTCTAATTAATATGGGTTCTAATTTTGATACTTGTGTGTCTCTGTATCCTATACTATAAGTACAAACAACAAAGTTGGTTTGGTTCAAGATCCATGGATCATACTCACCAGACACTTCTAGGAAACTCTATACAGAGCCTGTTTGAGTCGGAACTGACTCAACGGCATTTAACAACAAACCAATTTTGATACTAATGAGCTATGACTCTCATGAAAGGTCTCTTTGGTTCTAATCAAGTTACTAACCAGCTATGTGTAGGTACTGACGCTGTTCTTCCTGCCCCAGTCCTGTCATCTATGGGAGGGAGTGTATGCTAAATGGTCTCTCAGGTTACTTCCAGCTCTAACACTCAGGGATTTTACATGTGAAGTATCCTTAATCATTGTTTTATTTCTTTCCTTCTCAGCCTTATGATTTTTTATTTGAAAGAGCAGTGCATAGGATTCAATGGATCCTTCTATGTTAATATTGTTGTGTTGTTGTTAAGTGCCATTGGATAGGTTGCGACTCATAGCAACCCTGTAGAGGGTTTCCCAGGAGCAGCCGCTGGGTTTGACCTGCCAACCTAGTGGTTCACAGTCAAGTGCTAATCCTATATGAATACCACAGCACTGGCATGTAATACTTCAGACTGTGATTCTTTCCATATTAGATTTTATTTTCATTTAAATGTAACAACAACAAACAAACAAACAAACAAAAAAAACAACACAGGAGAACCCCAAACCTACTGCCTTGAAGTTGATCCTGCCTCATGGCAACCCTGCAGATGATATTGTGTGTAAAGAAAATAGAATATGGACTAGTTTGATTCTAATTTATTTGATTAGAAACAAGAACAGGAATCAATTTATATTCTGAAAGCTTTGTAGCATCTATATCAATATAGTATTGGGTTTTAGGCTATTGGTCATTTTATCCTTTTATCTATTATGATATGTATATGTGTCCATAGTGTTAACAAAACATACTGTCAAATCAGAATGAAGCATTGTTTTGGTTTTGTTCCCCAATTGCCTACCAGTACCAGCATTTTAGGCATTTCTCCCATTTAGGCAGGAGTCCTTGGGTTGGTTACAGTCTCAACTACTTACTGAAAGGTTGGTGGTTCAAACCTACCTAGAGTTCTTCAGAAGATAGGCCTGTGTATCTACTTTTAAAACACCATAATTTCAAAAACCTTTAATCCACTGACTCACAGTGATCCTATTGGACAGAGTATAACTGCCCCATAGGTTTCCAAGGAGTCCTGGTGTGGCGCTGTGGGCTAATGAGTCAGACTGCAAAGTCATTTAAACTGCAAGGTCGGCAGTTCAAGCTCACAAGCCGCTCCTTGGAAACCCTATACAGGGTCGCTATGGGTCGGAACCAACTCGACGGCACTTACCAACAACAACAAGTCTGCGCACAGAGGGTTGCCATGAGTAGGAATGAACACAAGAGCACCCAGCCCAGCCCTAACCTCGCACGATGCTTTAAAGACTTTATACACAGCCACATTATTCATGCCCAGAGCGGCCCCGTTACTATTTCCCTACAGCCTGTGCATGAGGGTTATCCTCTCAAATACTTCCTTGTCTCTGGGGTCTTCCTTGACCATTCCCACCACACGGATCCCTCCTTCCTGTGAACTTCTCTAGTACTTTGGACCCTTCTCACGACCCTAAGAGACCTTCAGATATTTTGGGTGTGCTATGGAAAAACGAACAAACTCTTTATTCCTGATTTAACTCTTTTGACCTCAGAAATGATATAATTTTGTCACCCCTTCTTTGCAGATTACCAAGCTGAAAATAGATAGCAACCCTTTTGCCAAAGGATTCCGGGACTCCTCCAGACTCACTGACATTGAGAGGTAAAGAGAATTTTCTGTTTACTTTTTTGGTCCAGATAAGATAAAGCGGAGAGAAAGTTTGTGAGGACACTCAGCTCTTAAGGAACCATAACGTCACTGCATATATTCTCCAATTCTCTTCCTTCCGTCCCTTCCAGATATAAACCCTATAGATAGGCAACTACTTAAGTCCTGACAGCTATAGCTGCAAATGGATCTGTGTGTGCTCTTTTTCTGAGATGGTTTTGTAAAATGGTTTATTTGCTCAGGACATTTATTCAACTGTAAAACAACAACGAGAACAAAAAATAAAAAAACAGGTCTTTGTCGTTATCAAAGACTTAGCCTCTTGATGGTACGATGAAACATCCTCTCTGGAAGAGTAGTAATCTGCAGAAAAATGAAATCCTGGTAGCCTCTTGCCTTCTGACATGGAGGTGTTTGCTATTTTGAACTTCGTTTGCAATTTTGAAAAAAGGAAATGTGATTTGATTCAAAGTCACATGATTTGATCTATAGGGTTGTTGTTAGCTGCAGTTGAGTCAGCCCCCGCCTCATGGAGACCATATGCGTTACCGAGGAGAACTTCTCCATATGGTTACCTTTGCTGTAACCTAGAGGGAAGTAGTCCAACAGGCCTCATTTTCTGCAGAATCGCTGAATGGGTTTGAAACACCAGACTATAGGCTTTGTCTGTTTAATAGAAAAGATATCATGTCTTAGGACTTTTAAGAAGACAAGTGACATTCATGTGCCTACCACTTACCTTGCATTTGTTACTCATTGAAATGTTGCACACAGTGTGGGACCACCTGTATGATGACTGTTAAGTGCTGACTCATAGCGACCCTGTTTCCACCGAGTGGCTGATGAGTTTGAGGCGCCGACCTTGTGGTTGAAACTGCCTTTGCAGTTCGGTGCTTTATCCCACAGCACCACATCAGGTCTCCATCTATGTGATAAGTGATGACTATATTGAGACCCAGTTCCCCCCCCTCGCCCCCCCCAAATACTTTCAAACAGAAGGTTTTCAACCAAATTGACTGTATTTCTTTGTTTGTTTATTTGTTTTGACTGTATTTCTTAACCACAATATGTAGCTCTCTCTACTTTTATGTGTCTCGGGGTCTTCATTGACAGGTGAGGTGCCCTGGCTACCAGCTAGCTCCACACTTTTGTATGATTTCCCTACCAAGATTCTTCCACATCTTTACCACAACCTTAATATTTCTACCCAATCTGTCTTACAGACTCAAATTAAGGTATAAAATATTCATGCAACATTTGTCAGATTCTTTCCTAACCCAACTGGCAGGGTATAGGGTGGTGGTTGTGGCTTGGGGACAAATACACTGGCAGTGGGGACATAGAGAAGTCAGGAAGAGAGACTGAATGTTGGGTAAGGAGCTATATGGGGTTTGGATAGAAAAGGAAGATTGAAGGATGGAAATATTTGATAAATGGTTGACGGTGCTAGAGACCAGAAAAGAAATGTGAGGTTGTGGTTAAGAATCCAGTGCAAAATACAGCAAGAGGACAAGTATGTAAGTCTCCAATGGGTTGGAACAGAGGAGGACAAACAAGCTGTAAGGCAAAGTCAGCAAGAATTCTCAGCAGTGAATTTGTTTACAAAGCTTGTGTTCCTTTAGACAAGGCCTTTTTCATTTCCTGTGTCATATCAGACAGAGGTGGTGATCTGAACTGGCTTGATGCAGGTGGCATTATAGTAAGTGAACATTTTCTCAGTTTTAGTCATGTCAATTACAAATGAAGACATGGAGTCAGTGGGGCAATATTGATGTGTTTTTATTGTGCACATTGCATCTTGTTTTAGATCAGAGGATTGTTGTTAGTTGCTGCCCAGTTGGCTTGGATTCAGACAGAACAACATATTGCCCAGCCCTGTGCCATCTTCATGTGTTTGGGTTCATCTTCCAGAACTATCTCAAACAGCATTCATTTGTGATCCTGAATATTTTCATTGGCTGATTTCAGATGTAGATCTCTAGGTCTTTCTTCCTAGTCTATTTTACTCTGGAAGTTTGGCTGCAAAATTTTCACCATGGATTACTGTTGTTGGTATTTGAAATATCAGTGGCATAGTTTCTGGGTATACCAGCTACCAGGGTATGACCAAACAGACGGTAGGTATGACATATTAGGAGACAAAAGTCATGGATTAGAGTCCCAGCTCTCCCTTCTCTTGGATGAGTGGTCCCAGAGAAGTCACGTAACCTCTGAGTCTGTTTCTTCATCTAGAAAATGGAGATAAGAATCCTATTCATTTCAGGGGGTTATCAAGTGAATCCAGCAAGATATTTTTGAAAGCACTTTATAAACTTAAAAAAAAAGTAAAATAATTATAAGTTCCTCATCTTATTAGATGACCATTGGATTGATCAGTTTTTACCTCATCTAAGTCTACTTTTAAGTCCAAATAAGCTACTCCTGGGGTAAAAATAGCCCTCTGGTTGCCTTTGTGCTCATGAGATATGGTGCCATTCTGACTGCCCTTTGGAACGACAGATTTGATAATGCATGCAGCCACATTTTCCACTTATTGAATAAGCATCGTAATGTGGGGAGCACTTACATATATATGAAGTTAAGTAGCTTTCAATGGTCGGAGGGCCAAGAGCACACTCTTGTGTGACTAGCTGAAAGTTTGTATGAGGACTTAAGTAGTGTGAAATTGGTCAAGGTTTCGGTTTTCATTTCCAGGTATTTAAGTCTGAATTTTTCCTAAACAGCCTTTGGGGATGGAACAAATCAGATCAATTGATCTTTAGAGACCTAAAGAAATTAAATTAGTCTGGAGTCAGTTACTGCACTAAACCATCGAGTAATTGAATTGCTCCTTGTAACTGATTGAAAACAGTCCCTATCTATAACAATATGGAGAGCTTTTCTTCATAAGAGATCTGAGAGAAAAACACATCTTTTTATGACATGATGACAGAAATTGCACTTTTCTGACCTAATTGAATATGATGTTCTAAATATGTGACCTTAATGATTTCAAGTTTCCGGTTTCAGATTTACAACTTATATGTGGGACACCCAAGCAATAACAGAAAAATGCCTTTGTGATTAGATCTGTTTGCCTTATACCTCTAAACGACATTATCATTTTGTTTTTCCTAGTCTAATTTTACTAGGTTCCACTTAGATACTTCTTATATCTTTATTTCATGGATTGCTTCACTTTTCAGGGATAGCATCTCCCTCATTTGTAAAGGGAAACCCATCTCATTACCAAAAGTAGAAAGTATTTTCATTAGATGTTTTGCACATACGTCTATTGTAGATAGCCAAAAAGCAAACCAAAAGCCCAAAGTGATTGTTTTTAAAAAAGATAATCTAATTTATAGTTGTTTATGTCAGGGGCAGCATTATCTATTGGTTCCATATAATAAGTAAGCTACAGTCTGTCACTTGACATTAATTCTTTTTTTTTCCACTTTGTACAGTTTTACTAGGATGTGAAGATAAAGTTTCACTTTTAAGAGAGAAAAAGAAAGTAACTAGGAAGGCTTTAAAGTATTTTTTTTCTTTAAAATTAAGTTGATTTTTTAAAATTTTAAAAGAAATAGTTCCTGCTCACTGCAGAAAAATCAGAAAATATTGACAAGCAAGAAAAAGAGTATAAAAAATAATGAAACTGTATTCACTGAGAGACAACCACTAGTAAAATCTTGTTATGTATTCTTCTGGATACTTTCCTATGTATGTGTCAACATCTCCCTTTAAAGTTTAGCTTAACAAACATATTATTTTAAATATACTTTTTAATGGCTCCCTAGTTTGTGTTTCGTTCTGTTGTGCATAGGGTCACTGTAAGTCGGTACCGACTCAATGGCACCTAACAACAACAACAAGTTTCTCATTGAGGAGCCTGATTGTGCTGTGGGCTAGGCACTAGGCTGCTGACAGCAAGGCTGGTGGTTGAAATCCACCAACTGCTCCGAAGGAGAAAGATGAGCCGGCCAGCTCCTATGAAGATTTACAGTCTTGGAAACCCTATATTGAGTTGTTAGGAGTCGGAAATGACTTGATGACTGTGGATTTGGTTTTCGTTTTCATTATGTTTCATAGTTTATTTGCAAATCTTGTATGTTAGTTCTTTAAGGTTCCTGCTTTTTGCTATTTAGAAGTAATGCCAGCAGGAAAATCTTTGTAATTATATCTGTATGCATATTCTTAATTGGTTCCATAGAAATGAAAGCCTGGATCAAATGGTATCTGTGTTTTTACGTTTTTTCCATGCTGTCACATTACCCACAAAAGATTGTCAAATCATGTCCAAGACTGTGCATGCCCTTCTGGGTCCCCTAATCACGATGATTGGCAATTCTTCTTCTCTGTCAAATTGATAAGTGAAAATTTGCAACCGATTTTCTTTTGTCCTTTAGCCTGTTTTTGTCTTGAGCCGTTTTTACACCTAGTATCAAGGATGTTATTATTTTATTGTTCTTTTGTGTTGGGGCCATTTTGCTATTGGCAAAATTACCTTTTTATTTATTCTGTATCTTAGTTTCTTAGTACTTCTGTCACAAAAATACCACAAGTGGATGGCTTTGGAGAGCAGAAATTGATTTTTTCACTGTACAGGAAACTTGTTGTTATTGGTAAGTGCTGTCAAGTTGGTTCCAACTCATAGCGATCCTGTACAGGTTTTCTGAAGAGCAGATGGTAGGTTTGAACTGCTGACCTTGTGGTTTGCAGTTCAGTGTTGATCCTACAATGCCACACTAGGACTAGATCCCTGAATTCAGGGCACAGTTGGTGATTCAAATCCACGAGCTGCTCCTTGAAAATCCTATACAGGGTCACCATGCATCAGAACTGTGACTGTAAGGCACTTAACAACAACAGGATCATTAGGACTGTGCTATCTAGTATCGAAGCCACTGACCACAGGTGACTAGTGGAGATTTAAAATGTGGCTACTCCAAATTGTGATGTTCTCTAGTTACAGAAACCACTGAAATTCAAAGAGTTAATATGGAAATATCTTATTG